TATATAAATACTTTTTACAGATAAAAAAAAATCTTTGGAGCATTTTTAGGAACAACTTTAAAACATACGCCTTTTGTGATAGGAAGCCGTGCATTTTCTAACAGCCTTCAAGATACCAATAAACAGCTACCATCTTCGCAGATTATTGACGATTTATGAAAACAGATAAGGAAAAAGATAATCTGAAAATATCATTATTCATTTTGAACAGAGGTTTCTGTTTAAATATTAATCTGTAATTGTGCATAATACAGAGGTATTAAGTACCGGTTTCAGTGGTGAGCAACCCGATGCTATGAACTAGCTCTAATGAGAAAAATATCCTGTTTTCCATTTATTTGTTTCTTGATGAAAATGCCACCTGAATAATAAGCTAAGTGATTTTGACTTACCCAACAAAATATTCACAAATTACGTATTGGAGAACATGGGGAAACATATCACAATCCAGTATGTGCAGGAAGCATGAGGCACGAAATCATACAACTTATCACAGATTATATCGTCAGAAATGAATAAAATCGGCATTGGCTTTTTCTTTGGATGATGCGAATAATCAACATCGACAGACATACAAGATGTCTGTCTATCTGCAAATTTGTACAACGAAGTCATCGGATATGCTCTATCGGCCTAAAATATTTTCAGCAATGCGAGGGTGCCTCTTATACCGAAAAGTACATACAACTTTGATATTTTAAATGAGACACCCTGTATATTATTGCACGGTTAGATTAGCTATATAGATATGATGATTTTTGCATAACGATTCCTATATAAACAATTCCTAAAGCGGTTTCCGAAATATTAAGTAAAATTAATTATTTTTAATCAAAACCTAGCCCTAAGGAATCTCGTAAAACGCGCTTTCTATACGTGAAAATTTAAAATTTTAGTACTGGGTTTGGAAAACCCTATGCTTCATCCTTTCCTACAGCAATTTGTACAATTTACCAAATTATACAGGATGTATATATATATACCTCCTGAGTGCAATGAGCCGGTGCTCCATCTAGTTCCCAGGTAGCACACTACGTCTTATGAACGTCTAAACGACGACATGAGATTCGGCCAGAAGACGTCAGATAGCTGGTCATTGGGACGTCCAAATGACCGCTACATGACACATCTGCTAGACGTATGTTTAATGACGTCACTTAAACGTCGGTTTTAGGTACGTACATGGTCAGTACAATTATTTCATATTGAGGAAATTTTTTGGTTCCAATAAGACACTATAGAATCTTAAATCGTATTTTATTGACAGGAAGCAAGCAAAGATGGTAACAATTTTAATTAATTAAAAGTAGTTCTGACCAGCCACAAAAATAATAATAAAAAACGGAGGACAGGTAAAAAAACTACTATTCTTACGAACTTTTTCCCTCCTTCATAAAATTTTCCAATATGTATTTGCACAATGTTAATTAGGCAGATTACCTTGAAAAACATTGCTGCCGTATTTATGATTTTTGCAAATTTCTCAGTTTTTAATAACAATTAATTTCTTTTACTATTTTTTCTGTACTCCTATAACAGCGCCAGACAAGACCTCCAGAGGAATTACGCCAATTTTGAATCGCCCTGTATAGAGTGTTGGGAGCATGATTCATCCTTATGCATTTCTGACAGGCAGGAAATTAAAAAATAAATTACTAAAAATTTAAAATTATTATAAAGAGACATTTAAAGTTAGATAAAAATTATCTCCAAATAAGACGAGACGTTATTTAGTGAATATAAAGACGTCTGAAATAAAGCTTATTTTAGTGACTAAAAAATGACCACCCTCGGCGGTCCATTGGACGTCCATATAAATCTGACCAATAGACGTCCAAGTATTGACGTCTTTTCTAAGTCAATTGACGTACTGACCAAAAATGATTTAATATGGACGTCTCGCAGACGTCTAGTTGGTCAGTTGTGCTACCTGAGTTGAAACCAACATGTGCAGTACTCTTCCCGTTTCAGATTTTCTAAAAAATCGCTTACCACTGTCCTTAGAATTTGGCGGTACTTGGATGAATGTAACGATTCTTCATAAAGGTAAAACTTTATTTGATTATCCTATATGAGGCAAAAATATTTATGCTGACGCTTTCTTGAAATGACATTTGATGAACCACGTGTGGATTAAGATCCGCCCAAAAATGTTTAGTTCATCTATTGAAAATACCCTCCCTGAAAAACTTGGCTTTATCTGTCCAAATTGCGTTTTTTAAAAGGTTAGAGTCTTGCTGTGTATGCACCACAATTATTTCATAAAATCTCATTCTCCGATGATAGTCTTCTGGCTTTAGGGCTTGGACTTTTGTGAACTTGTACGGATGCATTGCATGCTTGATCAGGATCCTTTGAGTGGCGCTATAGGCTAAGCCCAAATCATCTGCTGCACTTCGAAAAGAAACTTGAGTATATGCACGGAAGTACGCTAAAACATTTACAATGTTTCGTGCCATAATTAAGGAAATTGTGTTGTATTTGCACAAACTTCTTTGCATTCATTTGCTTTAAATTTGGAAACATTTCCTTGAATTTTCTGCATGTCCGTGCAACAGTTTGGTCACATTGCCCGCGAAGAATAAATAGGTTTATTAAAACTTTGTTTGAATAATTGTTTCTCTCCATTTTGTATAAAAAGCGTACAGAAGCTGTATCTATAGTGTGTCGCATTTAAGATGGAAACACCCCTGTATTTTAGTTATTTTTAGAAGCAAGGTTTTCAGTTTTGGTACAGAGGTAGAATGTTATGAGCTTAATTGTTTAGGGTACCCATTTCTACCTTAAGATAAAAACCCAGCCTATTACGACTTTGCGAATAGGGGCAATTCGTTATATTTTGTGATGCGTTAGAAACATCGGAAAAAGTTGTTCAGAATGTTATTTTAACGGTATGTACTGAGTTTCAAGTCAAAAATCAAATTTTGCCATTATTTTAAATTTTTACGCAGTCTGAATTTTTTCACAAAAAGTTAATGTGTGGAGCGGAATTTTAGATAACAGAATACTTTTTTCGTTTTTCTTCTACACTACCTTACATGCTGAGCGATTGCTTAATTTTTTTAATAACGAATTATGAGATGTTATTGAGAATCTGCCTATCAACGTGCGACACGAAATGTTTTTCCAACTAGACGGTGCATCTATTCATAACTCCCTGTTGGTCCAGGATTGGCTAAATCGATACTTTCTATTAAGATCGATTGGCAGAAAAAGCTTTTTTGAACAGTAGCTCCCTCGCTCTCCTGAGCTTACGCCATTAGATTTATATTTCTGGGGTACTATCAAGAATAATTTTTTATTTTTGTTTATAAAATAAGGCCTCAAACTCGAGAAGAACTATGTGAGAGAATAAGACAAGCCTGCCGTGAAATAAATGTAGCTGAACTTATGAGAGTTGCCAATAACAATCGCAAACGCATTGAACAGCGCATCAGGCTTGCAGGTGGACTAGTTAAAGCAGACAACATTCGATAATACTAATTTTTTGCTTGAATTTTTCGGTTGCTTTTTTTTATTTTGTTGAATAAATCATGTTTGTAATCATGTTTTGTTGGATTTTTCGTGGCTTGAATGAAAACTTCAGACCTCGCGTGAAAATGAAAAAAAAGCCAAAATTTGACTTTTGACCTGAAACTCGGTATTTACCGTTAAAATAACATTCGGAACAACTTTTTCTAGTAAGTTTTGCCGATGTCTCTAACGCATCGCAAAATATAACAAATTGCACCTATTCGCCAAGTTGTAGTAGGCTGGGTTTTCATCTGAAGTTAGAAATGGGTACCCTAACCAACTAAGCTCATGACGTTCTACCTCTGTACCGAAACGGAAAACCCTACTTCCAAAAATAAATAAAATACAGGGGTGTTTTATTCCGAATTCCGAATAATCGGACGATTTGACAGATGGCGGAAAAAGTTGAAATTAAATAGTTCTCATGTGCGATTATTTCTTGCTGAAAAAAAGCAATAATTTTAACTCATCGTGTTGGTGACCATGACAGTGGTTGGTAACAATGGCCTCCATTTTAACCTAAAAGCCCACTTGGGCGCAGATATTTTTTTCTTAACCGTCCGCACCAGTCCTGGCTGATTGCCCTTGCGCGTCTCGCTATATATTTATATACGAAATGCATGGACACGGAAACCATACTATCCCCCCATATTTAAAGAAACGAAGAAAAAGTATTTTCAAGTGTGTAGATTTTATTCAATTTTTGAAATTCGGCCAAGAAGTTTCGGTAATTCGTAAAGCATAGGCTGAAGTTGAAAAAATTGAATAAAATCTACACTGAAAGTGTACACACCGTATAGTGCATGCTAATCTTTCTCCTGCAAGTAGGTATAGGATCTCGGCTCTTACAGTTTTTAGTAATATGAGGTCCAATTTGAATTGTATAACTTTGATAACAAAATATCGAATAATTCTTTCGGCATTCTCATGTAATTGATTCTTGAATCAATTATAATACGCTACTTGTTCCGGTTTTCGTTGGAAAATTTCGTAAAGATATAACAATATCATTATTAAATAAATCTAAATAAAATAAAAATCTTCAATTACAAAAATTAGAGGCTAAAGCAATACTTATTAATAAAGCAGCATCACCAATTCGGTGTGATAAAGCAGTTAGTATACCTGAATTAAAAGATTTTACATTTTGATAATAAATTACTAAAATGTAGGAAACGAATCCTAATAAA